TTGTCTGTGTGTGTGTGTGTGTGTGTGTGTGTGTGTGTGTGTGTGTGTGTGTGTGTGTGTGTGTGTGTGTGTGTGTGTGTGTGTGTAGGATGCAGGAGAGTTTGTGTTTCAGTCCATGTGTCTCCTGGAGATGCATTCAAGTGCACAGTCTATTTGCATGTATATGGGCACCTGGATCTCCATAGTGCCGGATTAGACCAGTTCCTCGGGGTCGATGTCGGCTATGGGCTGTCTCCAGTAGCAGAAAGAGCTGTACTCCGGCAGCACAAAGGCTTCGTTCTGCTCTTTACTCAGCAGAGGGAATACGTGCTCCACCAGCTCACTCAGCCTGCTGTAACTGTGGGAGAGACAAGAAAAGTGAAGATAGAGACAGAACAAAAATGAGTAAAAGCCTCCGTTTTGTCGGACTTCCCGTTATCAACATATATGAAATACAGACAACCTACACACATCCTTAAATCTACATCTATATGTAAATCTTAAAAGCTATTTTAAAACATGTATATGTGTTGATAAATAGATGAATAGAGAAATCTGGAATACTTATTTTGAGCTTGTTAGAAATCAAGCAAAGTAGGATATTACTGAAAAACCTCCATAAAGCTCAGAAGAAAGTGAGAGAATACTTCACTGTGTGATGTGAACATCGCAGTGAGGAACCCTCACAGTTAGAATAAAACCATTGAATAATGCAACTTTAATGTCGGATTTCTATCTCCTAAAACTTTTCATTGGGTGGATTCTTTCTTCAGATATATATATATACTACAATTAATGCAAGCACTTTTACAATTGTAGTACTTATTCTAATGGTACCAATGTCTTTGTACTATAACCACCTAATGAGACAGGCAGTAAATGTCAGGTTATGCACTCACGAGGACTTGTTGCCCTTGGTCTGCTCCTGGATCAGCTCTCCCTTGGGGTTGACAGTGAAGATCCTACACACTGGGACTCCCACCTCCTTATAGGCAAACACATCCTGAAGGAGAGAAAGGAGTGAAAGCTTACATCTCTAATCCAAAATGTAAATGAAACGCAAACAATGTTCTGAATTGTTCTCTGGGATAAAAGGATGTGAAAGCAGCTCATTTGAATATGTTTAAAAATGAGCAACCAGGCCTTCAAAAGCCGTCTGACATGATGATATTTTCAGAAAGTAGCTCATACAACACAAACTGGGGACAGGTGTGTTGAATAACATGAGGCACAGATTTGTGTTCCACCTAACACACGTAATGGCAATATTTCTATGCTGAAGTGAAAGACTGTGTGTGTTGGTTGGTTTTCTTTTCTTTTCTTTGGCGAGCGTTAGAGACAGAGGGTCTGACGGCCGATGCAGTGCTTCATCTGGGTGTTGGTGTTTGTGCAGCTGAAGATGGTGCGCTGTGCCCGGCGGGAGCTCTCTCTCCACAGACGCTGCCTCATGGGACCAAACTCCGCCAGTGACCTCAGCCCAGGTTCAGCACAGGACTGATTTCATATGTTTGTGTCTCTAATTGAAAGCCAACGTGTCATGTTGATATTGCAAACACATCACGTCTGCCTAGACTTCTGGAAAAAGACACGGCTCTTTGACATGTAAAAGCGTTAATGTCTGGGAGTCTGACATCTTCAAACACTCATTAACTCACATTAGCTCGATTCCCAAAGGCGGCGTGGAATGGCTGCTTGTTATGCTGGAACAGGTTCTTGATATCTGTAAGGCATTCAATCTTGAAGATCTCTGGTTTCTTCTCAATCACCTCCCTGCAGGAAACAGAGAGTTTGATTAGAGCGACTCGTACGCACGTCCTTACTGTGGGTCAAGTCTGAATGAGAGTTAACTTTGGCAAATACACGTTTGGTTTCTCCCAATCCTTTTTTTCTTTAGATAATGGATTGTCTCTGTCTGTGTTTCAAATGTATTGGTAGTACTATTAGTCAATACGCATGAGACTTTGGTTTCTGAGGTTTCTCCCATCTTTTCCCCTTTAACTGTGGGGTTTTTCTTTGTATACTGCAAGGGTCTAAGGCAGAGGTGCCCAGTACGTCGATCGCGGTCGACCGGGGGGGCAATGCTGGTAGATCGCGAGTCATTCATAAAAAAAATCCAGCTCCGTTAAAATAGACAAAACTGATTTTTGATCCCTCCTCCCTTGGCCTCCCTGCCACTTAATTCAGGAGTTTACTTGATTGACAAAAAAGCGACCTATCGCTTTCCAGTCTGTTAACCCAGAATGCAAAGGCAAACAAGAGACAAACAACAAAATGAGTGCGGGACCGAGCAAAAAGCAAAAAATATCCCACTTCCACCCAAGAATGGGAGGAAGAA